TGGCTACAAGGGACCAAATAACAAAATCCCTTGCAAAATTGGTTTGATAATAGAAGGCAATAACTCACCAGCATTGTACCAAGTATAAGAATTCATCCATGAGACTTTCCATACAGCAAGCTCTTGATCTCAATTGTGACCTAAACGGGAGGTGGTTGAACTCAGTTGGGTAGGTGAAAGACCAATCCACCATGTGGTGTTAAATTGTTAAACTGTTAAAAGTTAAATTGTCGAATTGCAGCCCTGGAAGAATGTTGGTTTAACATCTCATCCTAATTGTGAGATGCCAACAACAACAACAACAAGATTCCATTTATAGAGCGCCTATCACATCGGGAGGACGTCCCAAGGCGCTGTACAGTTGGGTCAGGACCCGAGCAAGGGGGAAATGGTCAGGGTGAGGGGAGGGAAGGGAGGGAGCGAGGAGGGGGTAGAGAGTCGAGAGGGGAGCTGAAGGCACGGTCAAAGAGAAAGGTCTTGAGACCGGCCTTGAAGGAGGTAAGGGAGGAGGCGGCGAAGGCACTGGGGGATAGAGTTCCAGAGCCGAGGGGCTGAGAGGCTGAAAGCCCAGCCACCGATGGTAGGGCGGTTGGGGGTGGGGGGATGTGGAGCAGACCGGAGCCAGAGGATCGGAGGGTACGGGCAGGTAGGTAGGGGGATAGTAGGTCAGAGAGGTAGGAGGGAGCAAGGCCGTGAATGGCCTTGTAGGCGAGGATGAGTATCTTGAATTCGATCCTCTGGGGGATGGGGAGCCAGTGGAGGCGAGCGAGGGTGGGAGTGATGTGGTCGCGGAGCCTGGTGCGGGACAGTACACGAGCTGCAGAGTTCTGAATGACCTGCAGCTTGTGGAGGGAGGTGCCGGGAAGGCCGGCGAGGAGAGAGTTCCCATAGTCCAGCCTTGGGGTGATAAAGGCGTGGACCAGAGTTTCAGCAGCGTGAGGGGTGAGGCAGTGCCGTAGTCTGGCGATATTCCGGAGGTGATGGAAGGCAGTGCCAGTTGTGGAGCGGATATGAGGGAGAAAGGACAGCTCATTAGGATGAGATGTTAAACCAAGGTCTTACTTGCCTGTTCAGGGAAATGTTAAAGATCCCATGACACTATTTGAAAATAAAAGGAAGTTTCTCCCGATGTCTTGGCCAAGAATCTCCCAAATAAAATTCATCATTCGTTTCATTACTGTTTGTGGATCATTTCTGGGTGCAAATTGGCTGCCGAATTCACCCTCAAAATACACAGTCACTTCACTTTACAGTAGGCCCTGTGAAGTGCTTTGAGATGTCATCCGGCATCAAAGGCACAATATCAAATGCAAGGATTACTATTATTATAAGTTCTTTCTTTTTTAATTAATGAATTAAAGATTCAAAGTAGTTTTCAATGATTGTTGTATTCTCCCAACCTTGTTCTCTATCCCACACAGAGCAAATATGTATCTTGCTTCACTTACCCACTTAATAATATGCCTTATAAAATCAATTTATTTCCATTAAGTTTTTATTGAGCTATATTTGAATCAGTTAAGATACACCTGAGAAATTTTCTTAATGTTATGATCACTAAAAGGAAGCTTGAAGTTTTAATCACCTATTATCTAAATGTTTAAAACCACAGACCCTTGCTTCTTACTCAATATATTGGTTAATAATAATCCTTGCATTTGATGATATAATCTTCACACTGGACTTCTAATTGCAGGGACAGTACAAATAACATAAAACAATGCATTGTCAGAAATCCACATGCAGGGGAGTAGTTTTCTAAGATATTGTTAACTAATCCTCCTAGTCATATATTGGATCCTTAATGGCCTTATTCTCAAAATAGATTGTTAGGTTTAAAATCCTTAGCCACAGCAAAGTGCAATGCCTGTAAGATAGACTTAAAATGGTCTGAGTAAGTGATGAAGAATGTTTCCCAGGGCTTTTTAGAGACCTAGTCAAAATGTTAGAATATAATGCTTATACTTCTGGTCTCAAGCTTTGTACTCCGTGGGTCTGTATATATGGACAGTTATCCTTGATAAATGCAGTATTTGCTGGCTAGTTTTGAAGGTCTGAATCCATATTGTCTTACTTTATTCAGAGGATTAGTGATTCTTTCGAAGTCAAGGATTTTAATTATATCAGCTAGAAGGAAATACTATTTCAAAAGTTTAGGACAGAGTGTTTTAAGATTATTGTATGGGTTCACGTAAAGCTATAATAGCAGAGCTGAAACATGAATATGAGGTTCAACACCATTTTTTAAGCAGGATGTGAATCAAGAGCAATGATTATCAAGCGCTTTCTTTTATTCTGAATGATCCAAGTGTCATTCAATAAGCAGGAAGTAGTATTCCTGGTTCTCCCACAGAGGATATAAAATTAATGTTTGAGTTTAAACGCTTTTCAGGTCAGGAGGAGAATGACACTCAAGGCAAAATAACACGTAATGCCCCAAATGGCCTCAGAGAAACAAAATGGCTGCATGCAGTCAGTAAATGGAACACTTCATAATTCAAATTGTATAATTTAAGGAAACAGGAGCAACCTTGGAGTAAGTATACGCTGTATTTTGTACAATGTTCAGAGTTACATTAAATCTATTTTTATGAGGGATGGGGAACTCTTTTTAGCATCCTGTTTGGACACAGAGGATAATTTGTCTTCAATGGATGGATACTGGAGGGTTTTTTTTTTCATGAGTGTATAAGTCCATCAATGCGTGAGTCAGGAAGATCTTTTTGACTCCGGTGAGTTGGGTTCTTTGTGGATTTTAATTTGCTTCGATGGAAAGATGAGAGGGATTTTTGTACAGAAATCAGTATTCCCATCTGATGTACTCTGCATAAATTAGCTTCAGATTATTGAATCAATCGCTCAAGCGCATTACTCTTTTCACATTTTACTTGAGTTAATGATCACAGTTGTGGGCAATTAAAATGTTGAATTCTCTTCTCAATAACATCAGTCATCAGTTCTATTTAATCTTGCAGTGCTCAGTAGACCAGTCCAAATAACAGAATGCTTGTTGGTCACAGCAGTCTGGAGTCCCTTATGCTGCATGGTTAGTGTTGATTTGCTGTTATGTTTGCATTGTAGCGATGATACGAGCGCAGTGCAAATTGAATTAACGCACACATTGATTCAATTCCAAACTGCTCCCGAAATCACCTGAGAAAGTGATATCAGGAATTTAATTGATGCTTAAATCAAACCAGTTTTTTATTGCAAGAGAACTTTTGAGATAAAGAAGTTAAATTTAAGAGTTGATGGACTGCCTTTTACAAGGTGGCAAGAGAGGTTCAGAGGAATATTGACCATGGCCCCAATTGGCCTTACCAACCAATGCAAAACTTACAGATTTTGTTTATTACAACGTTAAGGACACCTATAAGTCCCTCTGTTCATATATGTTTAGATGTGGATTGTGCAATTTACATTGATTTATGCATATGATAATGCTGATGCATTTTCATGTAATATCTTAACATTATTGGCCAGAGGGAGGTCTGGATTTCTATGTAGGGTTCTCAGGGCTGTTCGCCTTCTTTCCACTCTTTTGCAACAGCGATCTATCTCTCTAATTCACTCAAGGATAGAGCCACCAGAGAAGTATCACTGAGCTGGGAAACTGCTCCATAAGACCCAGCTTTTCATAGCTTTTCAACTGCTTGTTGATAAGTTTTAAATCAAGATTTCGCAAAGCGTTTGGAGGTTGTCAGTCTTCATTTAATTTGAGGAGAAGGATTGTGAACACAACAACAACAACAACAATTTTTTTTTAAATGCCTTTCACATCGGGAGGACGTCCCAAGGCGCTGGACATTCAGTGTTTCGGTCCCAACCTGGGGGTCGGGATTGAGGAGGGTGGAGGGCGGGAAGGAAGCAGGATGATCAAAAGCACAGTCGAAGAGAAGGGTCTTGAGACAGGTCCTGAAGGAGATGAGGTGGAGGGACTTCTGGCAGAGTGGCTGAAGGCCTGTCCACTGATGGTGGAACGGGTAAGGCGGGAGCCCGCTAAGTGGAGGGAGCGAGCAGGTTGGTAGGGTTTGGGAGGTCGCAGAGGTAGAGGGGAGCTAGGCCATGGACGTCAAGGTTTGGACTGGCTTAGTAAGGTGATGGTGATGCTGTCAGCGCCTGAGGTATGGAGGCACTGATGGGAGCCAGATAGGGCTGTAATTGAAGTGATTTTCCTATGTTAAAGCTTTTAAACAGCTAATCACAGCAAAGAGATCTTCACCAAGTGAACAACAGTTGGTGGTACAGTACTCTCACCTCTAAAGCCCCGCACTTGACTTGAGGTTTTCATCTAGGCTGATGCTCCAGTGCAGTACTGGGAGTACTGCATTGCGGGAGGTGCTGTCTTTCGGATGAGACTTTAAACCAAAGTCCCATCTGCCTATTCTTCAATGGTGCACGTTAAATACCCAAGATGGTATTTAAAAGTAAATAGCAGTTTCTCCCTACGTCCTCTCCAACATACTTCCTGATGAATTGTTCATTCACCATATGAATGTGGGATCTTGGCTACCATGTTTGCTTTCCAAAACAGTGACTATACTCTACAGTCGTTAAGTAATAAGGTACGAGATCTTTTTGTGTGACAACATGCTACAAAAAAGTTTTTATTTTCTTTCTAAGACATTTGAAACTTCTGAAGAGTGAAGGCAGAAAGGAAAGTATCTTTAGTACTGTGCTTGGTTTAATATTATCCACAGTTCTCACAACAAAAATTACCACTTTTACTATGACCCAGTTGTTATTGTTCTCATGCTTATTATTACTATTTTGATTTAAGATTATTATTGTCTAATTTTTGAGTTTGTTTCCATTACGATATTCAAAGTTTTATTTCACACCTTTACTCTGTAAGATGTGATTGTACCTGTTTTTTTCAGTTGATTGATTTCTCCAGGAGATTTGGTTTCACTTCAGATTCCATTTTCATTTGTGCTTTAATATGTTTTCCTGTTTTTTGTTGCTTATTCCTTGCTTAGTCCTCTTATTTTGTTAAATAGCTTTTCCAGCAAGATTAATGAAGTAGAACAGAACAAACTGTTGGCTAGGGCAGCTCCAACTTTGCTGAAGGGCAAAGGGTGAGTATCAAGGAACACTTGCAGTTATCCAGGACAAACCACTAATACTACAAAAAGGATAACCTCAAGCCCCATATTAACAAAGAATTCTAATACTTAAAATTAACATATGGTGGTTCCAGACATTTTGCAACAGCACTTCATGTAGTAAACCTTGTTGCAACTGTAGAACAAATTAGCCCATTAGAAATTTAACATAAGGAGTAAAGCATGTTCTATAAATTTGACAGCGCTGTCCATAATACTAATAATGTTCAGCCTCTGTAATTCCATCCCCTGCTTCAGTCATAGAGCCTGCAAACATACTTTCTATCCTAGTGATAAAGTGCAGTGAATTGTGGATTGAATGTCTCAAGGCAGAAGAGAGACACACAAATGTGCAATGAATCGCTTTGTTTTGCTTCTTTCCGAATTCTTGTTTTATTTACCCTGCCTTTATTTTTCTTTGTTTCTGTTCTGTTTCTTTCTTGACATTTCCATTATTCTAGGTTACAGCACAGCCTTGATAGACTGAGTGATGAACATTTTGTGATTGGGCACTATGTCAACCTTCTTCAGCACAATTACTCATGGTTAGTGAAGGTTACTTTTCTGCAGCGTGGAAATAATAATGCAGCCCATTTTGAGGAACTTCATCTAACGTTTCAGTGACGTAAAAATAACTTGTGTGCAGATGGCTTGCAAACCTAAGATCTTGTGATGCTTGTAGAAAAGATGGTTGGACTACAGATTTAAATATTTAAGGATGAGATCAAAAATTAAATTTAACACTTGGAAAGTTTGATCTGTGTGTTAAATGCGTCAAGAAAATGTATCGTAGTTAGACCCCATTTTTGTGTAGATAAACATTCAATTTGTATTGGAAGCTACCTGATTTCTGAGTATTTTGATTTCTTATTTACTTTGATTGTACTCCACATCAATCTGCATTTCCCGCAGCTCCTTCCTCCCTTCACCTCAGTTTCAGAGCTCTGACCTGTACTTGCCCCCAAACTTGCTCTACTTGACCAAAGCTATAGTGATATTTGCAGTCATTCGATTGGTAACCGAACTTGTTACTTTTACCTCAATGGTCAGTCTTGATGCATTTCACAGAGAATACTAACTCCTTTGATTCTAACGAATTACCTTCATAATCTGCTTGCTGGTATAATTCCAATTTCATGATGTTGTACACATTGTGGAATGTGTGGTTTTCCTGTTGCAGTTCCATCATTAAAACTCAGACTAGGATTGTCACTAATTGTTAATGTTACATTTGCAGCTGTATTTCATGGCCTGACTTTAAGTGAGATGATGGTAACAGCTTTTACACAATCATAAATCTCAAGCATATTTTGTTTAATGAAACTTTACTGCAGTCCCATTACAATGCGATAATTGGTGTTCCACAGAATTCCAAACCAATGCTATAACAGGACACGATCACCAGTCAGAGATTCCTTATTCACTGTGCACATATATGGTCTTCAAAACACCAATCAGTGGCCTGGAAAACCAAATGGCCAACATCCAGGTTATCAGTCACCACCAGTGTCATCTCTTGCACATTGTGTTTATGGAGCCAGCTCTTGCACTTTGGATTTTTTGGATAAGTAAATATTGGGGTCAACATCCCAACTGTAATATAAGCTAACTCACATTATAATAAAGTACCTTTTATCCAGGGGCGGAAAATCAGAAAAATGTTTCTGCCCTGTACAAAATTCAAGGACAAAAAAGTCATATCTTCAAGAGGAGAACATACAACACAATACATCAAAACAGAATGACAATTGCAGATGTTTTGTGAAAAAGGTGTTTGGTACATGAAAGAAACTATCAGCGTTGGTGGTTGAACATGATACTCCAAATGATTTTGAAACAAAACGAGGCAAGTTCCTGTTAATTCAGATACATACAACAAAGGAATCTTGTGGTCAAAGATGTAGATGTACCTGTTGAACACGAAGTGAGTAACCGATCTGTTGCATTCTGAAAGCCAAAGCTTTGTCATTTTATGTTTGGGGGGAAAACGTTTAAAATTAGACCAGTGATAAATATTAAAGTACCATTTGGTCATATTGATGGAGCTTGTGTTCTGATTCAGTAATTCTAGACCCAGTAGAATTTACAGGATAGGATTTAGTCTGCTCTCTGAAGTCGGTGTTGTGGGAAGCTGACAGTTCTATTTCATCATATGATAGTTTCTTTATTTAAAAAGCTATTTTGTTCCAGTTGCTAAAGGAAGTGAACTAACATGAGTTGAAGGCAGCAATTCGATCAACAGGTGACATTCTAAACAGGTGATGCTTAAGTAATTTATCCCTGAATCTAGTGGTGGCTGGTGAACTCGTGTGCGGCAATCTGAGTAGTCCTAACCAAGCTCTCTTGTGACACGGCAATGGGTCCTTCACAAACTCTCTTAGCTTCTCTCTGGCCTTTCTCCTGCGCTGGTAATGTCTTGTTCCCACCTCTCTCTTGCCTGTACTGAAAGGCACTATACAAAGTTAATTTGTTGTTTGTTGCCTCACTCTTGCACTCCTGAAATTCTAGATGATCCCGTGTTTCACTTGCCATATCTAACAACCCGCCAATGTCTGAATCTGAGACTGTATTTCAGGCTTCTATGATATTCCCAATGCCCTATCCAACTCCATGAGTAACAATATTTATTTCAACAAATTGCTTGTTGCTGTAGTGACGGTGTGTGATGCATTGCTGAACCACAAAAAAACAAGAATAAGTTTTGTGAGAAAAAGGACTTGGTGAAGGTATTACAGTATTTAACAAGAATTACTGACAAAATTAGAGGGTATTTGTGGTGTATCTGGAATATTTGTGTACATAGATTATGAATAGTTTGTGTTTTTATCGGATTAAATTTGCCTACCTCAGACAGTTAACTTCCAACTCAGAATCAAACAAACAAACACCACTGAAACCAAGATTAGTAATTCTCCCCCTTCCCCCCCAACCCCAGTGTGGAGTCATCAAATCAGGTAAAAATAAAAGCTGAAAATTGCACAGTTATAAATCTTGAGTGCAGAAACTGAACATGTATTTTTACTCTTGTCTGATTGCTTCTGTGTTTTTCAATGAAATGTTTTTATTGTATATATAGTGTGTATAATTTGAAGCTTTGTAATTAGAAGTTCTCTATTTCGGGTGATAAGTTAGAATTCAGAGTTGCCTTTGGTGAATCCAGAATAAGTGCACATTGCAATGATTTACAATGTAAGCTTTGACCGGGAGAGGAATATTACAACACATTTTTCATTTGATGAAAGTGTCATGAAAATCTACACCAGTTTTTAAAATAATTACAAAGCCGTAAGCAAACTAATCTAAAAGATGAAAACTTCAGCTTCATGTTTGTGAATGCAATTTTGTGATATACAGTATGTATAGATTTGTGTGTGTGTAATCCATCTTGTGAAATTAATAATACAGTACAAAACCAAGTACTTTAAAATGTTATATTAATGTTGACATTTTTGGAATAATTATTAAACTTAATGCAAGGCTCTAGGTTATGAACAAAAGCTCAGTCCTTAAATTTAGTTTTATTACAGAAGAGAAGATTGATGATAAGGTATGATAGAATTTATAGCACATTCATATCTGATCCTATGCTTGCTCCTCCACCAGAGTTGTATTGCTCTCATTCCCTACTCTTGGCTTGTAGATTTTAATGTTATTTTCCTCAAGTATTAAATCGTTGCCTTTTAAATATTATCATGGACTTGCTTTGAACAGTCATTCTTGATTAGGATTTCCATATTCTAACAAAACAATCAGGTCTTTGAAATGCTGAAAGCCTTCGATTATGCTATTTATTCGAGACTCTGAGCACTGAACTTGTTAGTGTTAGATTAGATTGACAAGTCACCAGAGAACAAGACTAGTTTGGATGAAGAAGGTCCCATACCAATCCCAATGCCATGCTGAGAAAAATGATAGTTATTAGCATCATAACTAGGATTTTACACATTTGTGCAAGACTAATATGTTCTCGCTGTACAATAAATCAGTTATGTACTAGTATTACAAATTTATCCCATTAAATGGCAGTGCCATGTAAGCAAAAGCAGTAGGCACAAATTTTAATGGCATTAGTATAATATCTTCTGTTTCGCCAACTACAAAATGACAAATCTATAACTAAATATGTTAGCGTTGTAACAACTAATGTTGATGGGGATTGTGCTTCTCCACAAAACCTTTTTATTTGTGGCAATGAGTAAATTGCATCGTGAGATTGATTGTAACTTCGTGAGGTTTCAGCTGTACTGCAATTGTGGTCGAAGGTGACATTGAAAACTTCTTGAGTAAATGATGATGTTGGTAATCAATTACCACAGAAGGACTACTTGACATATGTTTGCTGTGAAGGATTACTCCCTCTGCTGAGTTCAGCATTTTACCGTAGCATTCTCGGAAGTACTATACTGAGACAGAATGAAATGAACTGCCATTTTGTGACAGTGGTCCGCCCATCCATAAAATCTTATTAAACATATTCTGACTGAAGAAATGAATTGGTAGTTTTCTTGATGTCTATCTACTGGAAGGAGTGTCTCCTTGGCCAACAATCCTCTACGTTAATTGGTTATTCACCTCTTAGCTGTGTTGATGTGGCTGATAAGGGACCATATTAAATGCAAGGATCATTAAATATAATGCTCCATTTGGAATAATCGTTTTAGCTCAACAGAAATCAACTTTGCCACCTAGTGTCGGAACAAATGTGACTGTAAGTTGATTTTTCTTACCTTTTAGTGTTTCACATTTTCTAGAGTGTCAAATATCAAAAATAGACCAAGAGAACAATGTTTCCTGACATTACAAATGTGGTACAATGGGCTTTGATATGAGTGAAAGAAATCTCAAAACTCATTGTCACAAATGGGCTATTGTTAGTTTGCTGTGCAATATGGACAATAATTTCTAATGAATACCATGACATGACTTGACTGTTGACTGGTGAGTGTTCTGCACACTGAATGACTGGATGTTACACTTTAAAATGAGCCATGCAGGCATCCAAATTATTATTTGCAACTGACACAATAATTGTTTTTTCCGATTGAGACATAATGACTACGAATTAGCTTGCCAAAAAATGCTTGTGCTTAGTTCAGGATTTCTATTGATGGCAAATAGAAATGTCCAATTGAATTCCTTGTCCAGTGGCCAATAGTCTTTCATTCAGAAATTCAGTCTAAACAAACACTTCTCAGAGGAGACATTGAATGAAGACCAGGCAGTTGTCTACGGAAAGGGAGAGAGAAAATAATTGGCTTGCCTTCCTACATTCTTTAGTGGGTAGTTACAGGACAATGTATTCAGAAGCCCGGAAGCACATTTCTCTGTGGATTGTGGATTATTGTGTAGTAAGAGGGGAACAAAAACTAAAAAAAAGCAACCAATCTGAGCTAGTCCAGACCGAAGCATCACCCTCAGCAACCACTCTCACGTGTTTTGCACTGAAGCATTTAAAATTGACATCCCCTCTGCCCATCATCAGGTGGACATTAAAAATCCCATAACACCATTTGAAAAGAGAAGGGAGTTTCTCCAGGTGACCTGACTAACCATGTAAGTTCCCCCACTCTATTACCTCTCATCAGACAGATCACTTTACCAGTTGTCATTATAAGCCTAGAATCATAGAATGTTACAGTGGAGATTTTCACATCTTCACCACCCTCAGTGTAAAGTTTCATTTCTAACTTCTCCTATTTGTAATTGCCTTGAATTTGTACTGTCTTGTTACTCACTAGCCAACCAACGTAGAATCACAGAACTTTACAGCACAGAAGGAGGCCATTCGGCCCATCGTGTCTGTGCCGGCTCTTTGAAAAGAGCTATCCAAATCAATCCCACTCCCTTGCTCTCTCCCCTTTAGCCCTGCAAACTTGTCCTCCCCAAATAATTATCTACTTCTCTCTTAAAAGTTGTTATTAAATCGACTTCCACCACCCTTTCAGGCAATGCATTCCAGTACCTACCTGCACAACGGTCACATCTCCCGGTGTCCTGGTCAACAATATCCCACCACCGCACAATTTTTTAGAAAGGTCATTCACTTTCATAACTGTTTGAGAGACATTGCTGTGAGCAAATTGATATAAAATAAAACAGTCACTATACTTTATAGTAAAATCCTGTGAAGCTCATTGTGATGACACGATAAGGTGGTGTATCAAATGCAAGGATTATTACTTTATTATTTAAAAATGTTAACATCTTCTTCTACTTACCAAATGATGAGTTTTCAGACCTGCATTAACTAGTGTAAGAACCTATAAACCATCATCTAATAATTATGCATATTTCATTTAAGAATGTTATTAAAGGAATATCTATCATCTCTCCTCATTCTGAGCTCAGCTCTTCTAAGCTCTGGAAGTATTAGAAAATGAGTACGGAATAAATATCTCAAACAAATGACCATGAACAAAATCATTTTAGATTTACTTTTATTGTGGTTGAGCCATAAAATCAGAAAATAGTTGAATACCAGTATTTGATGACATTGAATATTCTTTCTCAGTGTTTAGTTTAATCCATGCAGTGGAAGTGAGTGTGAATGGTTTGTTACAGAGGCACTCTGCTTGATATCTGCTTTTTCTTCTACATTAATTTATACATTTTACAAATGAAAGCAACCCGATGGAATGCCACACTCTAAAGTAGATACCTATGCATCAAGGGTGAAGGAAATGTTGCTATGGTAACTAACACATAAATTCAAAGGGAACCTGGTACTCAGCAAAGCACATTAGCACAAACTGCAACTTCAGGGAGTGTGAGAACTCTGACATGAATGGAGCCAGCTCAATAGACGTTTATGCTTTCTTCACAGTGTCCTTGACAGTCCAAGCAGACTGGACGAAGAGCATCGACTGATAGCACGGTACGCAGCCCGACTTGCGGCAGAGGCAGCATCTACAGTAAGTAGTGAGCCAACCGGCCAACTTTTTCTCGGTCTTGAATTGGTTGCAGCTGAACAAATTGTTCCAAGTTTATCACTATTATTGCAGTTATGCTCAGCACAGGTTGCATGCTTCGCCTACAAAATATACAGTTAATTCACTTTACAGTATATTCTGTGAAGCTCTTTGAGACGTCTCGAAGACGTAATAAGGCGTTATATCAATTGCAAGGATTATTATTATCATCACAGGTATATAAATAAACAAGAGTATCTTCAAGGAACTTAAGCCTATTTTGTGCAACGTGTCTTGCTTTTGCATCTTGGTTTCTTGCTGTAGTTTTCAAACAATTTTTTAAAAAATCAATATTAGGAATTGAATGTTTTGATGGATTAGGAATATTTTTATGTAGCTTCATTATCAAAGAATGAAGATGTATTATGTAGGCATTTTACTGGCATATCAGCAAATATGAGGAATTTTAAAAAGACCTTATCCTAAAGATAAAACCAGTATATTTTCTTCCAAAGTAGATTTTTTTTGCTTTGCATTGCAGGTGATATTTTCAAACTTTCAGTAAATCTGTAAATAACTCGATTTATATAATTGATTGAAGTCATTTTCCCTATTTAAACCATTCAAGTTCTAAAGAAATCTTTTTACAACTACCGAATGTGGTCATCGAGTCATCATGACATTATTTATTTTTAATAGTCAGGATATTTGCCTACAAAATACAGTCACGACACTTTCTCAGCAAATATGAGGTATTTTATACCGAAGACAATGCACTAAAGATAAAAGCAGTATATTTTGTTCAGCTATCAGTCAGGCTTAGTTGATAACACTTATATCTCCAAGTCAGAAGGTTTTAGGTTCCAGCCCCGTATAAAATCCTATAATGCGCTTTGTGCTGTCTTCTTGACATGAATGTTAACTGCAAAGAAAATCAATATTATCATAAAATCAATTTGCTTCACCAGCAGCTGGAAAAGCAGAACATTTCACAATATATTTTGGCACATCTGCAGTATTTGTTTATATTTACACCAGGTCTGGCCTCCTCCTTGTCCCCCGAATCCTCCACTCCACCATCGGCAGCTGTGCCTTCAGCCACTACGCCCCAAGGCTCTGGAACTCCCTTCCCCACTCCCTTCGCCTCGCCCCCTCTCTTCCTATTTTCAGGTCTTGGCTCAAGACCTTTCTTTTCGACCACACCTTTGGTCATCTTCTTCGCCCTGGCTCGGCTCCGGGATCCATTACTGTGAAGCCCTCTGAGACGCCGTCCAGCGTGGAGGGCGCTATATAACTCCAAGTTGTTGTTGTTGTTTTCCAATTTTTAACATTACAGGTACGGTTGACTGAATGCTAAATGATTTCAAGTTGAAATATTGCAAAGTAAACGTTAATAAAACTTGGTAATTTTTCTTTTCATGGGCTTTTGTGGTATTTAGTATAAGGAAATGTATTATTTGAGATATTCCCACAGCAGAGAACATATTTTAGGTGCAGAGATTTGCTGACTTGGTGACTGTATGGGTTTCAGATGGGCTGCCCCAAATAGTGCAATATATGGGACAGCCCATATATTGCATTCCAATGTAAACCATTTCACATTGACAGGATTTTGAATTTCCCCAAACATATTATCTGAAGGGTGAGACATTTAAAGAATGTCTCTTGGTCGTTAAGGTTATCATTTTGTTTCTTTCGACTCTTTGTACAAAAGTTGGCAATTTTGTTTCCAACACTGGTGTGATTTGAGGTATCAGATAAAGTAAAGTAACGTGGACAAAGTAATAAGTCGCTATAGCAAATTAAACAATTATTACTTTCAGTGGAGAACTGCCAAAAAATATAATTTACGCTCTAACCCTTCCTAGTGTGGTTTTGGATTAAACCTATAACCATTTTGTGACGCAGAGTTTGTCAAATAGGCAATTTTCTTCCTCTTTTAGAATCAAAATACATTTTTCTTCCTCCTTCAGAATTAAACAATAAAATATTTTTTTAAGATCTTAGAATCTTTTTTAATCAATTGCCAGAACATCTTTTGTAAATCGCTGTTCACTCCACACACTGAGGATTAATTTCATCAAGAAAGTTTTCTTTCATTCTTAATAAATTAGAATTCTTATTTAAATTGTATTTGTAAAAAAAGAGAAAATTAAACTTAGAATCATCCCTTATGCAGCTAACCCAAATTAAACTAGTTCTTACTCAATGGTTTTCTCACTGTGACTAATCTGTAGATCAAAATCTGGCTGAAATATTTCTTTTAAAAACCTTTGATTTGCAACATGATTTTGTTGCTTTTAGCATGTAGCACTGCTATTTAAGTTGACTTAAAGGGCTTAACAAGTCTTGCAACTTATTTGAAATTAGTTTAAGTAAAAAAGGTGCATGTAAAGACTGGCTAGAGCATCTAAACTTATTACAGCACTTCGAACAGTATACCTTAGCAGCTTGCCAGCTTTTCTTAAAAAAACTGCTTTGCAATGAAAATGTTAAAAGAGGGGCTGACATCACCGTTGAGTGGTCTGATAGATCTTTTGTTACCATAGTCACTTCCATGTTGGAGCCCCAATCGCTGATGCTTTCCACTGATCTGCAGATAAAGTGGGATATGGATCATCTTATTGCAGGATCATCCCACTTTCATACTTTCAAAGGCAGCGGATTTTCAACACATGGGTCTATGAAGGAATAGGACTGTTTAGCACGAAAGGAGAAAAAAATGTTATTTGTGCATATAAATGACCTGTTCAGTGAACAAATTCTTGATGCAGCCTTGCTGCATCCTGCATTAGTATGCTACAATAGGTGCAGCAAAAATGCCACAATTTAACATCCTTTCACCTCTTTGTTTTGCCTATTCTAGCAGCAACGAGCTCCTGCTGATCTGTCCTTCACTATTGATGCAAACAAGCAGCAGAGGCAGTTGATTGCTGAGCTAGAAAACAAGAATAGGTAAGCGGTTTTCATAATAACGTTTCATTTACTGACCTGATGGATATTGTAAGCATGTCCAAGGGGTCTGTTGGGATATTGCTGAACCTTCTGCCTGTGAGTGTAAATGAGGGACTCGGTGGTGTGCTCTGTTACCACAGTGCCCTTTACCCACTAGAAAATAGGTTTGAATCCAACCCAGACTAATGGGACAAAAGAGTATCCAAGTGTGAAATTAAATTGGACAGTCTCAACCCATTCCCATTAGTCGTGGGCTCACAGTACACTTTGGCCATAAGCAGGCACAAAATTGTCAGGTTCATTCAGAGAAGCCACAGGATAATGACAGGATAGTGTACGAATTGGAAAATTTCACACTGGTGTGTTGTAATGCCATCCCATGGTGCTGATCGATTAAAACGCCCTGAGTGGAATTTTGACTGCCTTATCGATTTATTTAGCTTTAGTGAGTAATATCGTTTAATTTCAAAATATTCGCACACACTAATTGATCTCATGGAATTTTAAAATGCAACTGCCAGTGTACACTGTCAGCAAACGTTACATTTCAATATATTAAGAGCAGGCTTACAGAAAAAAACAGTATACGGAAGCTTCTAACATTAAAAATGACAACTTTTTTGTAAATTATTTTGGTATTAGCTTATTAATATTAATATTTTCCAGTCCTGAACATTTAACATCATCAACAACTTGCATTTATAAAGCACCCTTCACCCAGGACAGAGCCCTGAAGCAATCCTTTTCTAATTTTAAAAAGTGAAGAGCTATAGTTTTGAAATTATGGGTAATCACTACCATGGCCTTTGCAAGCAAAGCGTTCTGAGAAGCTTTCAATTTATTGTGAGGTAAAACGCTGTTTTTTTAAAATTACATTTGAAGTTCATGTAATGAATACAACACTCAGGGTTGCTCAGTCAGTTAATCTACCTGTTCAGGTGGATGTTAAAGGTCCCAAGGCACTGTTCGAAAAGCGAAGGTTGATTCTCCTGGTGTCCTGGCCAACAATCCCCAGACTTGAGACGAAAAACTTTAAAGTTTGAACCCTGTACACTCACTTCATCCTTTTAGGATCAATAAAACAATTTTAAAATATTCCATTGGATGGGAAGGAAAAGCAAGTGGGATCTGATGACAGTTGTGAGTCAGTTGATAGCTCTATCACCTCCAAGTCACAGGTTGTGGGTTCTTGGTTGGGACTTTGAATTCATCTAGTTTAGACAATACTGCAAAACAATCCTTAGGTTGTGCTGCATTGTCGGATGTGCTATTCTTTGAATAAGATGTTTAAACTAAGGGCTTATCTGCCTGTTCAGATGGATGTTATACCTCCCATGGCACTATTGGAACGGAAGAAAAATAATATGTATGGAAAAGGAAAAGTACCTGGGGGTTCTGATTGACAATAAATTGAAGCTCTCCCAACAATACTCTGTGGCAGTGAGTAAAGGGATGTATTAAAAGATCAATGACAAGCTGAAATAGTGGGATAATCCTGCCGCTGTATAAATCATTGGTGAGACCATACTTCTTAAAGTACTGTGTACAATTGTGGTTGCCACAGTACAAAAAGGATATTGGAGAAATCGAGAAGATACTGATGAGAGCAACCAAAATGATTGAGGGAATGGAGGGACTGGACTATGAGGAGCGATGAAGTAAATTGGGTATGTTCACGCTGGAAAAGAGAGGATTGAGAGACGACATGATACTGTCTTTAAGATTCTAAAGAGAAAAGACAATATAGACCATGACAGACTGTTTCAACTTGTCCAGAATAGTAAAACCAAAGGACATGGCCTGCGATTGCAGTGGGGGAAATTCAGAATCTACGCAAACACTATTTCAGTGAGCGAATAGGGAACCTGTGGGACAGGCTCCCTAGGGAGACAGTTGAAGCAGGAAGTGTTGATTCTTTCAAACACAGATTGGATAGTTTTCTTTTTGGAAGTAACATTATGGGATATAGTACATAGGTAGTTTGGGATATATGTGCATGCGACCACCAGGAAGGTGGACGACGAACTAGATGGACCTTGGTCTTTTTTCGTCTAGCTGTTCTTATATTCAAAAGGGCAGTGCTCCTGATGTTCTGGCCAACAATCCCCAAATAAAATTGGTTATTCACTTCATACATGTTTGTGAGACATTGCTGTGTGCAAATTGGCTGCAGCTTCCACCCAATAAATATAATTGTTACAAGTAACTTTGAAGCATTTTGAGATGCTATATCAAATGTAAGAATTATTATTGTTTTTTACATTTGGTGTCATTTGGTATGACAGATATAAGTAAGTGTAGTTAATCCAGTCAATCAAAGTGCTTATAGCCTGTTGTTTGATGGCTAATTGTGACATATTGTAATGGTTTGTCTGTGGTACAGTGAATATAATGTGTTGAACTGTTTAAGACGATATCAGTCCATCAAAACATTTGTCTTTTCTTCTTAAGGGAAATATTACAAGAAATACAGCGACTGCGGCTTGAGCACGAGCAGGCATCTCAACCAACACCGGATAAGGCACAGCAGAACCCTACCCTCCTAGCAGAACTCCGGCTTCTCAGGTAGCTCACTGACCACAACTTCCAGTGCAATGCCGTTACATTCAACTAAGGAACATGCTTAGCATCACCTTATTGGTATATGAGGTCACTTTGTCTCCTTGCTGGTTCACTCAGCTAAAGGTCCACAAGCTTTTTGTCACCCAATGATGAGGAAGCCATCCTCAAACAATCATTAAGACTGCATATACTTCAACCCTCACAGTTCACTCCCTCAGCCATTGCCAGGGTCTTTGAGAGCAAGCCTGGGGAAAGAAAAGAAAGGGAACTCCAACGAGGTTCCACATTGCCATATTTGAGCTGATTGGGTCCATAATCCTGTCTGGTTAATCAATCAACTTTCAGTTAGCCTTTCCTGACAATTTTTTTTTAAAAACTTTTTTTTTGAAAAAAGAAATCGCTCTCAATTTCTTAAATGAATGATAGGAGCTGGAAGAAAGTGACTGAAATGTAAACAATAATAATAATCCTTGCATTTGATTATAGCACCTTATCACGTCTTTGAGACACCTCACAGAATATAGTGTTAAGTGGGGACAAAAAAGCGCAGATACCACAGATACTGAAAATCTGAAATAAAAACAGAAGTTGCTGGGATCATGCAGCAGGTCAGGCAGCATCCATGGAGAGAGACAGAGGAAAGTATATTAATGTTTCAGGTCGATGACCCATCGTCAGAATTAATTGACTGTATATTTTGTGGGCGAAACGTAATAGGGTTTTAAGGTTAGGATTTCTTTCAAAAATTAAGTTGATCTATGATTTGTGGGGAGGAAGTAGGATTAAGAAAAGCAAAATAAAGTAGAATGTTCCAGGCCATTTGATCAATCAAGTCTGTGCCGCTGATTTTTTTTCTACCCACATAGGCCACTTAGTCTAATCAATCCTCTTCTGCTCCCTGCCCACACTCATTAATATTACTTTTTACAAGCATTCATCTAATTCCCTTTTTGAAATAACTTATGAGCTGTCCTTAAACAACAATTTGTGGCAGAGAATTACACATTTGAACCAACTTCTGGATACCGAATTTTTTCTAATTTTTTCTGTGATTATCTTAAATTTGTGTATTTTTGTTAGTGACAATGGAAATAAACTATTATGACTTTCACTATCATAATGATTAATGAAGTTGAAGGACTCACCACTTACCTTTCACAACTCTGGTGGAAAAAAACCTAACCTCAAATATTTTGCAAACCTCCCTCCTCATCTAGTGGCTCAAGCTGTGGTAACAACTTACAGGTAGCAACAGCCTGGACAGTAAGTATCAACAGATAATTGTAGACAATGGGGAAATATCCATTCAACTCTGATATGTGCACATACAGAACTTTCACCAGAAGGTGGTGTGCAGGACTTTTTTCACTTTTTCCCTAGCTGTAGGATGCTGAGACTAGCTGTTTGTATCCACACCAGCCCCCCCCCCCCTAACCTTTTCCAAATCACATTCTTCATTTCTTCATTTCTTGCTGCTTTGTAAACAGTCCTTAACAACCAAGGGCTGGATGTCTGGCCTGCAGGTGTCTCTGTAGTTTCAGATTACCATTTCAGATTAACTGATAGGAAATGCAACTTACTCAATTGCTTTTCATTTGTGGAATCATTAAACCACAGCAACTTGGCTTTATATAGCACCCTTCACAGTGGTAGCATTTTAGAGCACTTGAAGCTCCCTGCTGAGAAAACTCCAGATCAAAAATGTAACACTCAGCCCGGCAGATGGTGGTACAGCAGTTGTTGGTTGAATCACCTGGTCACATTATTACAGATAGCTAAATGCAGAGTAAATACGAAGAGGTACTTAGCCCTGTTGAGGTGCAGTATTCTTTTGATAAACTAGAATGTCTTTATTTATAAAGTAGTTACAGTACTGCCACAATCCTAAGAACTGTAGAAACTATAGCACAGAAAACGGCCATTCAGCCCATTGTGTCTGTGCTGGCTGTTTGAAAGAACAACCCATCCAGCCCCATTTTTCCGTCTTTATCCCCATACCCAGGCTAACTTTTTTTTTAGAATAGTATTCTTCAGAAGAGATGAAAAAACACTCATTTTACACTGCACTAACTTGACATCTAATTGTGGTCTGAATATCCCCAATTGTAAATTGGATAACCTCAAGGTCTCTAGTAGCTGACGTGTAGCCTGTGTTCTGGCTTAAGATTTGGCTCTTGATGTGCACTTCACAGACAGCGAAAGGACGAACTGGAACAGAGGATGTCAGCGTTGCAGGAAAGCCGCAGGGAACTCATGGTCCAGTTGGAAGGCCTGATGAAGTTACTGAAAGTAAGATCATTTAATGTGTAGATCAAAAGGTCACTAAGGAACATACAACAGACAGAATGATCAATGAGTTGTACTTTGCTTCTCTGATTGAAGTTTTTTTTTGACAATTTAATTCATCTCAGAGGGTTCTCTGAAAGGCCTTTGTAAGTCTATAATAGAGCAGTGTTTGTCCCCATGTGGAAAATCAGAAAGTCATTTAACATGGGAATGGAAGGATAGATTATTTTCTATATTTACTGTCCTATGGTTTCTAGGACCTTATGTCTTTTCCATTTCAATATTTTTACATGTCTTGAGAAGTTATGTAAGTTTGCTTAAATTATTTCTTTGTATCATTTTAAATAAATATTACTACTTGTTGAGGAAGTCAATCTTTAGAAAATTACTTCAGGATTTTGGTCATGTTTGTTTCAATGAATTACTTCTCTGGTTAATTGGTCCATGCTGAATAAGCATCTTTGCGGGATTTTGCACTTTGTAATTAAAGGCACCTGAGTGTTTTAAGAATTCTAAATGTGCTTCGACTAAATGCTACTTGATTTTAAACTTTCGTATAGGAAGAAGAGATGAGGCAGGAAGTAAGTTTTGTGGTTCAGCTTTGATTGACGGGTGCATATTCATTTATTACTCTAGTGACTGAGTCTGCCCTTGATGCTTTGCCCATGTTGTGGGTCAATAAGCACTTTGCTTTTACTGCAACATGCCACTGCTTTTTTTTAATGCCAAATTATAACCTGACTAATGCATATATAATCATAATGCTTGGTTTGGCATTGACATATTTAATGACTTTCATAACCATTCTTTCATTTTAGTAATGAAAAGTATGACTAATTCTGAAACGTGGGTTACCTGTGCTCTTCAATGCAGTGCTGGGGGTGTGCTGTATTGTCAGAGGTGTCATCCTTTAGATCAGACATTAAACCATGGTCTTGTCTGTTGGTTTAAGTGGATTAAAGATTCCTTGGCACTATTCAAAAAGAAAAGGGAATTTCTCCTGCCAAACAATCCCCCCCAAATAAAAAAAATTGTTTGTGTGACATTGTTGTGTTCTCAATGGCTCTCATGTTTGCCTACTTACTTAACAGAAAAAAACCCTGAAGGGTTTTGAAGTGTTTTGACAGGATAATATGCTATATCAGTTGCATAGATTATTATTATTTGTATGCATTTAATGTTTGTAGATTACTGTGGTCACTTAGGGCTGTTGGCAGATGGGAGTCTGCATTGTTGGGTGGTTACAGCTGGGTTGATGTCCTTCACAACAGTGATGATAATAGAATAGGGAGCACGTTATCCACAATAATTGGGTCAAATCCATTATGGACATGAACATGGGGCCTTCATCAAGTGATCATGCAAAATCAAGCATACAGTATGCACAAACCGAAAAGTTCTCCACATAATGCCAGCCTTCCATTGATCTACCTCACACAGAGCTTCACTGATCTCCCCATACAGTGCTAGCCCTTCATTGATTTGTGGATTCCTGTATCTCAGTGGTTAGAGTACTCGCCTTACAAGAGAAAGTCCTGGGTTCGATTCCTGGCAGGGCGAAATGTTGGGCAAGTTTCGTTATTCCACACGACTCTGTTTACCGAGCAGGATGCAGGAACCTGATTGTTAGACGATTGTCATTTCTATTATTATTATCTCCCCCACACGGTGCTAGCCCTCCACTGCTCTCCCCCACACGGTGCTAGCCCTCCACTGCTCTCCCCCACACGGTGCTAGCCCTCCACTGCTCTCCCCCACACGGTGCTAGCCCTCCACTGCTCTCCCCCACACGGTGCTAGCCCTCCACTGCTCTCCCCCACACGGTGCTAGCCCTCCACTGCTCTCCCCCACACGGTGCTAGCCCTCCACTGCTCTCCCCCACACTGTGCTGTGGGAAATAGCTAATCCATGTGCAGTGACAAATTAAATCTAACAGTGTAAAGTAAACCTGCAGAAGTGTATCCTTAGAACAGTTCTCCATCTTTCAAATACTGTAACTTTGCACAATAACATCATAGTTAGAATCAGTTACCAGTAAGAGTGGAAGAGAGCACTTCACTCGACTTATTTAAAAAGGGTTTTATGGTATAACTGGAATGAGGGTGGGTGGATTGGGGGTTGGCGGGGCTTCCGGAAGGATGAGGTCCAGCTGCTTCTTTAACCGTACCATTTGTGATCTTGTATCGTCATCTTAAACCTGTGTCCTCTTTTTCTGTGCTTAATCTTTAAGTTTATCCATTGTTGAATGGTGTCCTAGTTTTTCTATTAGTCTTCATATTTCTGCACAACTTATTTTACTTTTTGAATTTCTCTGTTTTATGATAGTTTAGTTTGAATCATTAAAAGAAAAAGATTGTTGGAAATATTCATTGCCAGTTTACTGAACTGCTATATAAGTTTCTCGTGATGTGGAAAAGAGACAGCCTTGCTTCTGAAGAGTAAGCAAAAGACAGTACCTTTTGCCTTGTGTGTAATAGCAATGCACTATTTTTATTCACTGTTATCAGACTCAGGGAGCAGGCTCCCCTCGCTCTTCACCAAGCCACACTATTAGCCGGTCTGTTCCTATTCCAATGCCAATCAGATCAACATCAGCCTGTTCAACTCCAACCCACACACCTCAGGACTCACTGACAGGAGTTGGAGGAGATGTACAGGAAGCATTTGCACAAAGTGAGTCATTCTTTTAAAAAAAGTTACACTGAAAAATAAGATAGTTTTACATAGAAAAGAAAACGCACAACTTAATTGTTGTGGATGCACTCCCCGTTTCAAACTTCAGTATACAAAGAATGAAAGAACAAAAAAAATCTACACTTTTCATTGAAAGGGGCAATAAAGTTTTTAAAAAATGATACTAAACATGTGACATAGAGAATTTGCAAAGTAAAATAATTGCAGTGTTGTCTTATGATTAGGTGCTGCCCATATGTAATTTAAAATTGATGTATTGCTCACATTCTCTTTTCTAGGCTCCAGGAGGAATTTAAGAAATGATCTGCTTGTGGCAGCAGATTCTATTACAAATACAATGTCCTCTTTGGTGAAAGAGTTGAATTCGGGTAAGTGAAAGTAACAATGATAAGGATTTATTTGCAAATCCTAATTATATATCACTCTGCTGAATTAATATTATGGGCAGCCTTGTTAATAAACGGATGTTTTGGAAGTTGAATGTGTTATTCAACTTTACAGACTGTCGCATTGAGAGAAGTGTTTGGTGAAGGGAGAAAGAGTCCAACAAATCCGAATAATTCCTATTTGATGCTTTATAAGTTTCTGAATTCAAACCCTATTTTAGGTCGCAATATTAGTGTTGCCAACCCAAACAGATTATTAGAATCTTAGACATTGGTTTGTTGAATGACATTGGTTACAGATCACTAATGTTCTCAAAGGACCATAATAATCCTTTCATTTGCCTTTCGTGTCTGGAGGACGTCTCAAAGTGCTTCACATGATTTATTGTAAAGTGCAGTGACTGTATATTTTCTAGGAGAATGTGGCAGCCAGTTTTCACACAGCAAAGTCACACAAACAGCCATTAAAGTGAATGATAATCTCTACTTAAAAAAAACAAAGCTGTGACCTATACCAAAACGATTTCTGAATTGGCAATGTCAGATTTTGAAATCGGGGATAAATACTTTTCTTTCTTGTTGTGAGTTAAAAATGTAAAAAATGAGGTAATTTCATTAGAGAACAAATCCCTGCTGAGTGATTTTCTCTCCAGGATTGCAGTAGCATTTTTGAACCACATCCAAAAATTAATACCAAATAAGCATTTTCCATGTCTCAGACAATACTATAACAAGAAATAAATAGGCATGCTCCACATATTCAACACTTTACTCACAGTGTGTTGTGCAACCTTTGGAAAGACAGGCAGTGTGAAAAATGATATATGGATGGATGTACAGTGATTATATCCTTGTAAAAACATGATTATTTTTCTAAGAAAATATTTGATGCATTTCTTAGAAAAATAATTGTGCTTTTTTAAAAAAAAATGTAACCTCTAGTCTCACATTGGGTTGTTAACTCTGGTTCTGGAACCAGTCCAGTAGGCTATTTATATTGCATCTTCAGCATCAATTTAAGTAAATGTTAGTATTAAATTGATGCTACAAGTCCAGTATAAATGTGGTATTGTATTCCTTTCTGTACATTAGTTGCTCCAGGTATAATAAGAAATGCTTTATGGACTAGTAACTGTCCTTATTGACATGTTGGAGATTGTACATCCCTTTGACTTCAAATAAAAAAACCTCAGAAATTTTCATAGGAACACAGAATATTCAACCAGCTCAGGTGCAAAAACTTAACTGTTCAGCATCTTGGGATGGCCTACCAACGTGAAAGGCACTGTATAAATGTAATTTTGTTGTGGTTGAATTTGAAGCACAGGAGATCATTTGGGCATCATGTCTGAGCCACTTCAGGAAATTTCTTTCTCTCTACACAGGCTGTTCAGAATTGAAATGCTTTGTTTTTTTTGTTTCAGAGCTAAGTTACTTCTATCCACAATATAAAAATTTGGACATTTTTTTGTCTTATTTTCAAGTTGAACATAGTTATTGAGGGTGAAGTGAACTGTAGCTTGCTCTCACATTTCCCAACGACTGGTTTAAAAGCGACATTGTTAGAAGCTTGAGCGCAGAAGCCATCCTGTGCATTTGGCTAGGAAATCCCATAGAGTAAGGTGGTGGAGGAGGAAGAGGAGAAACAAATGGAAAAATACAGTCACTACACTCTACCATATGTCCCGTGAAGTTCTTTGAGACATCCTCTTGACAGGAAAAGCCTTCTATCAAATGCAAGAATTATTATTATTACACACAAACTGTAGACTGCCAACAACTATGGTAACTGTTTATTTGACAACTAGCACAACAATTATTTTACCCATAGTAGGGAACCACATCAGCCATGAAGTGAATGACTAATTGTTGGTCAGGACACCAAGAGAAACTCCCTTCTCTTTTTAAATAGTTCCAGTGATCTTTAATTTCCAGGCAGGCAGATGGTAATGTGCCATCCAAATAATCAAAGCCTACCCATGAAATCACTCAGTGTTGAAATTGCTTTCTGAAATTAACGTTATTTATGGGGAAATCATCTGTCATGTTTTGATAGATTTACAAATAACAGGCATTGTTTAATGGAATGTTGTATAATTAGGGGGGAATATAAGATTATTACTGAATCGTGAACAATTTATCTTCCACCAATATTGCTCTGGTAATAATGTTATATTCATAAATGATGCTTCCATCATTCTCTCTTCCTCTGTGGAGGATTGGGCCTTAGAGTGATAAGAGTGAAACCATCTCATAAACATCATGCAAGCTGTATACAGATTTATGCCATTAGTCACTATTAATGGAGTTTTGCTTTCAATTTAGCAGAAGCTGGCAGCGAGACTGAGAGCACCGTGGACTCCGAGTTTGGTCGAACTCATTTAGATGACCTAGTCCCTTCGCCAACATCTGAAAAGGCCTTTCTTGCTCAGATTAATGCCAGGAATCCCAGCTATCTCCACAGTGCTGCTGCAACAGGAACAATTCGGAGCGATATGTAAGTATCAATAATAATTATTTTTTATCCTCTTTCCTTGCCCAGGTGTAAGGCTGAAAATCCCAGTCCTGTAATGTTCCATGTCTGAGCCCATGCAGATAAACAGACATGTAGATGAATGGTATGTGGATACAGGGTGTTCTACAGTAATTGACTACTCATGTCATTGTTTGTAGGATGCTCTGGTTCATATTAGATATTGGGTTTGCTTTCTACAAAAACATTCACTTCATGTCAAACTTATCTCATCATATAAAGCACTTTGAGTCACTACATGAATGTAAGTTGCTAGTATCCTACCACAAATCAGTGTAGTAAAATGTAATGAGAGGCAGAGATGTCATTGTTTATGGTTTCTTTCTTGACAAGTGTTACAGATGATGGTGAATCCTATGTGAGGACTGATGATGAAAGTTATGAAAATGATTCCGTCCATCAACTTGAGAATGAGCTGAAGCTGGAGGAATATCTCAAGCAAAAACTTCAGGATGAGAGCTATCAGGTAAGATGGTAACAAAATGTACACTACCAGGTGCCTTTGAGTAATTGCAGGACTGTAATGTAACAGAGAAACTCAAAGTTCTGAAGCAAAACTCAAGAGGTTTTCATTAGCCATCTCAACCTTGAGATGAAATTAAAGCCTTGAAATCATGCCTTGGCATTTGTTATCTCTTGCGAAGATGTTCATACAAGAGAAACAACTGTTTGTAACATTATTACTGCAGGTTTGCTGTTCTACAGCTAATTATCATGAAATTCTATGCTGAGCAAATATTCTAAGCAGAGGAGGATGTGATAAGCTGCACTGTCTTATTGCTGTCACCTTTAATCAGGCTGTCTGGCAGTCAGCCACTCCTGGATTTGCATTACATGTGACAGTGAAGAGATTGAAAGTACAGAGCACTCTCCTGACTGCAAAAAGATGTGTGGGTGACAAGAGACCTGCAGGGCAAAACATAGAGTGAATAAAACAAAGCTTCAGTGCGGGGGAGGCGGGCAACCAGCTATCCTCAAATTTGGAAATCAGCATTATCAGTACTTTCTTTCCCTTCTCAAATATTTCCACAGAATGTTTTGTGAATATTTCATTTGGGATCTTTTGGAGCATGGTATAAAAGTTGTTTTATCAGAACTTATACAACAACAAGATTACATTTGTATAGCGCCTTTCACGTCGGGAGGACGTCCCAAGGCGCTGGACGGTGTACGGCATTTCAGACCCGGGCGGGGGAAAGGGAGTGGCCGATGGCATGATCGAAGAGGAGGGTCTTGAGGTGGGACTTGAAGGAGGCTAATGAAGGGGCGAGGCGGAGTGATTGTTGGATGGAATACTGTCATTATAGAGCCAAACTATATCAGGTCTTCTCTCTCCCTTGCTCACATTTTCTGTGTGTATAGTGTGTGTGTCTCTCTATTTTCTCTCTCTTTGAGTCACTCCCAACTTTCTATCTCTCATTCTCAATCTCTACACTATCACTAACCCTAAACTGTACAATGTAACAGTATGAAGATCTATCTTTACTACCAGCGAAATAATCCTGCTGGTGAGTATGTGTGAAGTTCTGTCCAAGTGTGTAAATTTATTAGAATCGCGATATTGTGATCGTAGCCAGTATCTCTCAAGGAGGAGACAAGGCAGAATGAATAAGATAGGGAAGAAAGGAAACATGAGTGAGTTTAATAGTGGGAAGGAAAATAGAGATGAAAAATGACAAATGAGTGACGGTGAGAGAGAGGGAAAGAAAGATAAAGGCTGACAGAATAATGGCCACAAATACAGAGCGAGACACAGATAGAACAAATCCACAAGGAGACACCATAGGCATTGAGAGGGAAAAAGAGAACGGAAGCGAGGAAACACCTGAAGATAAACAGGACACTGAGATTAATTCACAAAATATAGATACACTCACTACCTATAAACCTTTACAACTCCCTCCTATAAACCTGAATTCCCTGAAGCCCTGCCCTTACGCTGCTTTAACTGTATTTTATATATTTTATAATATACACATGACCAGCTACAGCAATGTTAACAGAACAATGAGAAGCAAAAGGGAATAATGGCTCAAAAGGCTTTTTGTCTGAAACTGAAACCCGCACTGTGAAACATCCAGTATGTTGGAAGGTAGATTATTTATGACTCTTCAAAACCAGATTCACTTCTGAAGTTTAGTAGCTGTTTGGCTGAGAAAACACTCTTACAATCTGTTCAGTTTACAATAGAACCTGAGCCCTAGGAGTGAACAACTTGTGTCTAATGTAAACATCCAGTTCTTCTCCCCTTTCTGAAATCTTCCAAAAAAGCAGACATACAATATATCTTTAATATGTAGTTCTTGTGTTGGGCATCTTACTGTCCATACATTCTCAGAATGGAAATAGTGTTCCTCTAATTCCTGCTGCATCACTTGGTAAGAAAACAACATCAGAACATCAAATTGACCATTACCATGCAACATAAATATGATCTTAATTGAGGCAAGCTATTATTAGTTCATGATCTTCGTCCTAACCTTTAAATACCTCCATGGTCTTGCCCTACCCTACCTCTGCAACCTCTTCTAACCTGGAGGTCTACTTCTCATCCCCGGCCCTGCCCACTCCACTATTGGTGGTCAGCCTCTCTACCCTCAGGCTCTGAAACTCCATCCTTGCAACCCTTCGACTTGTTCCATCCCTCAATACATTCATCCTTCTCTTCCTTGCCATCCCTCAGCACCCACCCCCAGCTCAGGTGCAATCCCTGGACTGTTCAGCACCTTGGAACATCCACCTGACGCGAAAGCACTAAATCAATGTAAATTTGTATTATGTTGTATACATTTTGAAGGTTAATTTAATTTTGGGTGTGATTTGTCCTCTGGAAAATAATTGCCTCTTACTGTCTGGTCATTTCACTGACTACAGCTTGAATTGTGCTTGAATTATGCCAGAGTGACCTTCAGCAGAACATGCCTTTGGAAACATCTGCAACACATTACCAACAACTATGTAATGACCTAAGGAAAAAGTGCTGGCAGTAATTGTTGACAGAACTGCCAAAGTGGATCTCTTGGGCCTAGCCTTAATGAGTAAGAATATTTGCCTCAAAATGTTAGGATTACACAGATTTGTGGAATATTCTTGAATTCAGTTGTAATTTGGAAGATGGTTCTGTGCAGTTCTTAGAAACAACCGGATTCAAATGGAGACATGAATTCAAGAGTTTTCCAATCTCTGTCCATCTTAAATTTTAAGACAAAATTGTTGGATAGGTCTAAAACCAGGTGGAATGTTTGGACCTTGGTTCTAGAAGCAGAAACAGTGTTTGTTGTCTGACTTTGTCAAACTTGGTGAGCGAACAAGGCAGATTAAGATTCTAGATTAACACTGAATGCTCAAGTCTTCCAATTCATTTAAATTTCCCATTAACTTGGTATCGAGATTATTTAAATGAAACCACTTGCTGCACAAATCAGAATTTTGACCTTTATTCTTGGAACGTGTTGCAAATAATTTTTGTAAGATGGGTTGGGCCTGGCCACATCAGGCTATATGTGACCTTTAAAGTAATCAGTGTTTGCCTCATGTGAGAGATCACATCCTGTAATCTTCTCATTCTATAAACCGAGATTTGGCACATCAGACCTCCAAGCAGGCCTTTGGTCCAGTTTGAGTTGGTAACCTCAAACCAGAGAGATTCTCATAGATTTGAAGGCTTTAGGTTTCATGAACCAAATACCTCATCAACCCTTCTTGACAACTTGTTGGAGTCGTCAATTACCCTTTGGGTAAATAAATATTTCTTGGTGTCTGCCCTAAAATTGCCGTTTTCAATATTAAACTACAGTCTCTGGTGCCCTATGCGACAGAGTATAATTGATGTAAAAAGTAGTCAGTTGGTTACTCCACTTTATTGAAGTCCAGCTGTTATTGAAACTGTCATATCCTCCACATCACTGAACTTTTGAATAGTCAATCCTTAAAATATTAAAAAGTCTCCATTAATGAATGATTCTAATAAAATAATAACAATAAAAATAGTATTTACATGAATATAGATTAAATTCAAAATCTTAAACAATATCTACAAGAGCATAGTAAACTTCCACGCTACATACTTTAGATTCTCTTAACTTTTCTTTTTAACTTTGCCTACAATACATTTTACGGGTATTGCAGGCAAAGTACTTTGAGGCATTTAGATGTAAGAAGGTGCTATTATATATATAAATTCTTTTTTCCAAGTCAACCACATATTTTACTTGCCGTTTTCTTTTTTAATTTGCATGCCTCTGCATTAAATAGCACCTTTATTGTTTGGACTGGTCACGTTACTTACTCTCTGGGCTATCTCTTTCTCTTTATTCTATCTGCGATTTACAGGTCAGTTTGCAGGGCTGAACAGACTCTGCTGCATTCTGCGTAAGTAATTTTCATCTACCGCTGTTATACTGACTCTCACTTTTGGCCTTCTAAGAACAATACTCCCTTCAGGACATTATCTTGCCAAGTCACAAAATTATATTTGCTGCATTTGACCTGAAACCTTAACTCATTTTCCTCTCTCCATGGATGCTGCCTGACTTGCTGCTTGTTCCCATCAACTTCTGTGTTTATACCAGATTTCCAGCATCTGCAGTACTTTGCCTTTTGATTAACCTCTTATTACCTGGGATTGATTGTCCCATCTAACTTGTTTTTCCCCTGCCCAAAATAATATTAGCTTTAGCATTGCTAATTCAAAGAAATGATGAGTTTTTCTTCTGGTTGTATATTCACCTCCTAATCTAAATTTCCTCCTTCCCATTCATATTAATTGGCTACTTATATTGGGGAAGACAAGTTTGCAGGGCTATGGGGAGAGAACGGGGGAGTGGGATTGATTTGGATAGCTCTTTTCAAAAAGCCGGCACAGACACGATGGGCCAAATGGCCTCCTTCTGTGCTGTATAATTATATGATTCACGGTTATGGTATATTGTTAGTGCAGAAGCGGAAGACCTGGGTTTGATTCCTGGCAGGGTGAGATGTTGGGCAAGTTTCCCATCTCCACACGCCTCTGTTTACCGAGAAGTAAGTAGAAACCCAGCTGTTAGTCGATTGGTGGATCGCTTTTCTGGCAGTAATAATTCCTTCAAAAAATAATAATATAATTGGTCACTTCAATCCACAACAGTTTGAGGAACACTGATGTGCGCAATTGACTACTGCATTTCTCCCACAAAATATACAGTCACTACACTTTACAGTATATTCAGTGAAATGCTTTGATATGTCTCGAAGATGTCTCCTACTCCCGCTCCTCCCCCTGGTACACCACCCACCTCCGCTCACTGAAGAGCCAGGTGCGGGCTGCTGAACGCACCTGTGTCAAATCTGGCCTAACGGTCCACCGACAAATCTGGCTGGACCTCCTCAAAATTTACCGCTCCACTCTAGCCTCGGCCAAGTCGTCCTTCTACTCCAGGATAATCCTGGAGGCGAAGAACAACCCCAGGCTACTGTTTTCCACCACAACCCGACTCCTCCGTCCCCCCCGCCACCCCGCGCAGGTCATCTCCTCCAACCTTCACTGCGAGGAGATGCTGGATTTCCTTGAATCCAAGATCAAGGGAATCCGCTCCGCGGTCACTTCCCCTCCAACTTCCACCCACCACCCACCCCTTCCCTCCCACACTCCGACTCCTACCCATCCTCCCCTACACACCTTCGTACCCGTTTCCCCACCCTCTGTCACTGAACTCATCCTATCCCTAAAACCAACCACCTGCTCCCTTGACCCCATCCCCACTCCACTCCTTATCTCCCAGCTCCACTTTCTTGCCCCACATATCACTGACATCATCAACCTGTCCCTCTCCTCTGGCTCTGTCCCCATTCCATTAAAAACTGCCATCATCACGCCCACCCTGAAAAAACCCTCCCTTGATGCGTCGCAGCTATCAAGCTACCGGCCCATCTCCAACCTCCCCTTTCTCTCCAAGGTCTTGGAAAGAGTTGTCGCCTCCCAACTGCGCTCTTTCCTTTCCACCCATTCTCTTTTCGAACCCCTTCAGTCAGGTTTCCGTGCTGCCCATAGCACAGAAACTGCCCTGGTCAAGGTCACCAATGATATCCTGACCATCTGTGACCAGGGCTCCCTCTGTCTCCTCGTCCTCCTCGACCTATCGGCAGCATTCGATACGGTCGACCACGCTATCCTACTCCACCGCTTGTCCTCCCACCTCAACCTTCAAGGCACTGTCCTTGAATGGTTTAGGTCGTACCTTTCTCACCGTCTTCACTTTGTCTCGACGAATGGCTTCTCCTCCACCCCCCGTACTGTCTCATGTGGTGTCCCTCAGGGCTCTGTCCTCGGTCCCCTCCTCTTCACCCTCTATATGCTCCCCCTCGGTGACATCATCCGCAGACATGGAGTTAACTTCCACATGTATGCGGATGACACCCAACTCTACCTTTCCTCCTCTACTCTCAACTCCACGACCACCGATGTCCTGACAGCTGCCTGTCCGACATCGAGTCCTGGACGAGAGACAACTTTCTTCAGCTCAACGTGCGAAAAACCGAGGCCCTCCTGATTGGCTCACGTCAGCGCCTCCGCACCTCAGGCGCTGACACCATCAGCATCCAAGGCTGCACTCTCCACCTCTCAAAGCCAGTCAGGAACCTCGGCGTTTTGTTCGACCCTGAGCTGTCCTTTCTCCCTCACATCCGCACCACAACTGGCACCGCCTTCCATCACCTCCGGAACATCGCCAGACTACGGCATTACCTCACCCCTCACGCTGCTGAAACCCTGGTTCACGCCTTTGTCACCTCAAGGCTGGACTATGGGAACTCTCTCCTCGCCGGCCTTCCCGCCACCTCCCTCCACAAGCTGCAGGTCATTCAGAACTCTGCAGCTCGTGTACTGTCCCGCACCAGGCTTCGGGACCACATCACTCCCACCCTCGCTCGCCTCCACTGGCTCCCCATCCCCCAGAGGATTGATTTCAAGATCCTCATCCTCACCTACAAGGCCATTCACGGCCTTGCTCCCTCCTACCTCTCCAACCTACTATCCCCCTACCTACCTGCCCGTACCCTCCGTTCCTCTGGCTCCGGTCTGCTCCACGTCCCCCGCCCCAACCGCCCTACCATCGGTGGTCGGGCCTTCAGCCTCTCAGCCCCAGGCTCTGGAACTCCATCCCCCAGTGCCTTCGCCGCTTCCTCCCTTTCCTCCTTCAAGGCCGGTCTCAAAACCTTTCTCTTTGACCGTGCCTTCAGCTCCCCTCTCGACTCTCTTCCCCTCCTCGCTCCCTCCCTTCCCTCCCCTCACCCTGACCATTTCCCCCTCCTCGCTCCCTCCCTTCCCTCACCCTGACCATTTCCCCCCTGCTCGGGTCATGACCCAACTGTGCAGCGCCTTGGGACGTCCTCCTGACGTGAAAGGCGCTTTATAAATGGAATCTTGTTGTTGTTGTTGTTGTAATAAGGTGCTATATCTAATGTAAGTATTATTAGCTGCCACATTTACCTACATAACTTTCATTTCTAATCAGTTATGTTTTGTAAAATATTTTAGAGATGTTTATTTTTACAATAAAAAAAAGTGCTATGCAAGTTGTTACTTCTTGCTCCTGAGCACTTTTCTCATTTTTACACTGCTATCTGTAGTCAGTAATTTGGATGATGTGCTTTGCCAATGGTCACCCCCTTGTTAACTCTTGATTCTGTTCCTTATTTGACTCACCAATGAAGTGTAGTTATTTGGTAGGAAACCCCTCTCCACCCTTCCCCTGCCATTACCCAAATAATGCACCTTCTACATACAGATATCATTCAGTACTGACCATGACGTTCTCATTCAGCAATCCAACACCATTCCATACAGGAATCTCACAAAACTTTTATTCCCTGTGCTTTATGCTGAGTTTACGTATCTTGGCTGAGATGGGAAGCAAGCAACATAATTGGTCTCAGTGCCCTTGATCTCGGAAGAGTGAAAATTGCCCAAGCTTCCAACATAATCCAATGGCCCCTGCTGGAAATTCGAACAGGGCAGGATTGCGCTTGGCATTGATGCTCAACTACCCTGCTGGCATTTGCTACTCATCCTTACCCAAGAAGAAGGGTTGCTTGGCAAGATATTGAAGGACTTGCTTGCACCTGTGGAACTGTACCCCAGTACGAGTCATTACTTCAGGGAAGTTGGGGGAGAGGGGAGAGAGAAAAGGGAGAATTTGTTTTGCAGTCTTCCAAAAACTATAATTGTACCTGTGCTTTTTGTTCCATAAATCAACTTGTTTTTTCCCCCATACAATGGCAGGTGAAGTGGGTATTAAAAAACCAGTGTGTCAGCCTGGCTCAGTGGTAGCACTCTCACCTTTGATTTAGAAGGTTGTAGGTTCAAGCGTCACATCGAGCCTTGGAATCACATTGTCTAAGCTGTAAGCCGTTGTCTAATACTCCAATACAATGCCTGGGAGGGTGTTGCATTGTCAAAGGTGTCATCCTCGGAATGAGACATAAAACTGAGGCCCTGTTCAGGGGGACATAAAGATCCCATGGCACTATTTTTTTAAAAACAAGAAAGAAAACAATACGTTTGTTCTGGGCAACAATCTCCCAAATAAAATTGTTCACTCATTCCTTTTACAATCTTTGCTCACCAACACTTGTGATCTGTTTTAGAAGAGAGCTCTCTCACTTTACATGTGCTGTTTTTTTGTGTGGGCATTGCTGCTGACTGACGCGTTTCGCCCACAAAATACACAGACAATCCACTTTTCAGAATATCCTGTGAAGTGTTTGGTGATGTCTTGACGATATGATAAGGCGCTATATCAAATGCAAGGATTATTATTGTTTAACTGTGGTACCAGTCTTTTAAAATGGTCATGTTTGTTTTCCTGAATAATTAATGGAATCTAATTTGAGGGATGAATATGCTGCAGAGCAATTTCACACAGTCTTGCAAATGGTTTGAACGTCAATGTGCTCCACGTATCAGACCATCTTATAACAGGATTAATTTCAGTGATATGCTGACGCAATCAAACTTGGTAAATTTACCAACAAACTGGGAAGAACAGCCTTTGCCTGCTAAGGTCGGTACAATTTACCGACTATCGGCAAATCTCAGCACCGTGATCTGTTTTGGAAAAGGACTATCTCACTTTGTGGGTGCAGGTTTTATAAATTATTTTGTTGTTTTGTTCGCTCTTCAGGCCAGTTACGGTCACACTGATGATGAGAGTTATGTGAGAACTGATGATGATGAAAGCTGCATTCGGACCGACGATGAAGAAGGTCTAACCGCCGGCTTCACCGAAGAATGGAACGAGCACATGAAGCGTCTCATGATGAAATAAGAATTTTATAAGTAGTATGAAGACTATAGCAACAGTCATTTTAAAAGTTTGTAGTTAGACATGTGGACAAACATTTCTTTTTCTATAAGCTGGGTTTATCAGCATCTTTATACAGCTCACACAAGTCGGGAGAATACTGAGGTTTCACTGAGCTAGACAAAATTGGTGTTGCTATTACAAAAAGATTGCAGTATTAATAAAAAAAACTTAAAAGTAGATACAACATCAAATTTGCAATCAATACAATTCTGTTTACAATTCTCATATTAATACATTACATGTTTGGTTTCCAGGTGAACTGTGCAGTACTTTAACAGAACAGGTACTGTTTTTTCCTAACTGTGATGAATCAACTATCTTGATTGAAATGCACTTACAAACATCAGAAGCTAAGCCAATGCACATAAGCAGTTATCTAAAATGACTACTACCCATAAATTACCCATTTAGTTTTTTTTAATGCACAGGTCTGTAAATATGTGTCATTGACACACACAGCTACTTCTGTTCTAACATTGTACTTTGAACCATAGGTGCCAAAAACAAACACAATAGCAAAACCGAACTTAAATCATTTAACACCTTTTTATGTGGTTGATACAATTGGTTAAGCAATAGTTCTAAGCAAGCATGTCCATTGCTACATTAAGAAGTAATGTTTTTTTTCCTTTTTTTTGTTTTCTGAATGTATAATTTTAAGGCCTTCAACTTGGAAGTACTGCTATATACTGTATACATGACTTGATGCGCGCCTGGAACTGTTTGTGTTTGAAATGTGTGTTACCTTAGTTGGCCCTGTGTATAGTTGTGCAAATTGTCAGACTCTACAGGAAGGAATGAGTTTATCAAATGATCTATGGGGAATTGTAAATGTTGTATAGGAAACAGCAAGTGAGAATTCAGATTGTGAGACGTATGTAAAATATGGCTTCAGTCAGATTAATCCACAGGTAACAAATACAAAGGCTTGCAGACACACTCATGCAAAGTTGTACTTGATTGTTTAGAATATTTCTGATCTGTACAGAAAAGCTCCTTTTCAGGTTGTGTGAGTTCTCATTAAGGTTGCTCACAGTGGCAGTTTATTTTCACCTAGTCTTTTCAGTGATGACTATTCCTGCCACTAATTCACCAACAGACCTGTAACAGGAACTTTCTATCAGAGAAGTTACAACGGCGTACCCTATTTTAGTACCTAAAGGCACAAGAGTGACACACTGACTAATCTGCAAATCTTGCACACCACACTGTATTATTGTTAGACTATTATTATTAGCCGAACAATTGCTAAGAAAGAACTAAAAGTTTATACGTGGCACCTATACAAATCTTTGCCTTGTAGATAAGTTAACAATATGTAACATTAGAAATTATTGTGCTAAAACTGATACAATCAGTTTAGACTGAAAACAAATGTTAATAAATATTGACTGAAGACTAATAAATTATCTAAAAAGGATGAAATGTACAGTTTCTGTTGAAGTTGAGAGTACTGTAAGAGAGAGATTTAATTTGTTTCAGAGTTGACTTGCACAAAACTGTGGCCTTCACTGTGAAACAATCTGTTCTCTGTTACTGCATGAAGTGATAAATTGTCTAGTTTTGTTGCACAGTCCTATGCCTTTTATTTATTTTGACTGAAATGTCCCAGCTTCATAAACTCATTAATGTGGACACATACTGTATGTATATACTTAAGTCTGTGTTGCTGAATTTACAATGAATTAATTCAGCAAAATAGCTGTGAATAACGACCAGTTTCTTATAGTATCAAAAACAGCGGGCACTTGATTTTCACCAAAAATATTTGATTACAACATCTATGCCACTAACTACAACAGCTTCTAAAACTAATATTTCAAACATCTACAGCGAGAAGAGCAACAATTTTGGAGGCACGACAGGCTCGATGTTATACACTGTTAATGTAACAAAACTACTGATCTATGTTTTTTATTGTTGTTAAGTATTGTATCCATACGTACAATGTGTTGAAATGGGCTGGGGACTTGCGTATGTTTTGAGGTGGTTCAAGTATTTAACTGTGTCTGTATTTTGGAATGGAATATTTCGTCATTAAAGAGAGAATTTTTAAAAAGATTGCCAGATTGTGTTGTCTCCAAATCTGCTTTGCAGCCTATAACACCCTCTCTGCTGTATCAGTGGTACCAGATATTAGTTGTGCAAGTTTGTTAGCAAATTACCAGTGAGAACTCCAGTCTTGAGAAAGCCAAAGGTCATTGTGGGACCTTTGAAACTCTGAGGACTATGTTAATATTATCAAATAGTATCTTAACCGAGGAAAGGACACATCTTCTAACATCTTTCCTGATTTGTTCAATTCAAAATCACTGGTACTGAGTGTTATTATCCTTATCTATATGTATAATATGAATATTTCTTGCATTTGATAGTCATTTTGCCTTCAGTGTTTTTCTTGAATGCAATTAGACTGTGCAGGTTTCAATAATGTATCTCCACAACATTGCCAGACTCTGCCACTGCCTCACCCCTCAGGCTGCTGAAACCCTCATACACACATTCGTAGGCTCAACTACGGAATTTCCTCCTTGTCGGCCTCCCCAACTCTTCCCTTCCACAAGCTGCAGATCATCAAAAACTCTGCAGCTCGTGTCCTCTCCCTCACCAGGCTCCCTCCATTCAGCAGGTTCCAGCCTGCTCCATGACTCCCACCCTACCATCGGCGGCCAGGCTTTCAGTCTCTCTGCCCCCACCCTTTGGAACTCCATCCCACAATCCCTTCGCCTTGCTCCTTCCTTTGCCTCTTCAAGGCATGACTCACGACCCTCTTCTACAGTGCCTTCAGCTGCCCTCCTACCTCTCTGCCCTCCCTCCCTCATCCCCCCACTCTTGGGACCTGATCCCCGACTGTTCAGCGCCTTGGGACGTCCTCCAGATGTGAAAGGCACTTTACAAATGTAATTTTGTTGTTGTTGTATCCCTTATGCAATGGGTAATGCAATGTCTACAGTGTATAGCAATAATAATAATCCTTGCATTTGATATAGTGCATTATCACATCTTCGAGATGTCTCATGCTTCACAGAATATACTGTAAAGTGAATTGACTGTATATTTTGTGGGCGCAATTGTGCACCACAGTTTCCCACAAACAGTTGTTGAACGACCAAATTATCATTTTTTGAAGGGATGCAGACATCAACAACAACAACAAGATTCCATTTATTGAGCGCCTTTCACATCGGGAGGACGTCCCAAGGCGCTGTACAGTTGGGTCAGGACCCGAGCAGGGGGGAAATGGTCAGGGTGAGGGGAGGGAAGGGAGGGAGCGAGGAGGGGGTAGAGAGTCGAGAGGGGAGCTGAAGGCACGGTCAAAGAGAAAGGTCTTGAGACCGGCCTTGAAGGAGGAAAGGGAGGAGGCAAGGCGAATGCACTGGGGGATAGAATTCCAGAGCCTAGGGGCTGAGAGGCTGAAGGCCCGGCCACCGATAGTAGGGCAGTTGGGGCGGGGGATGTGGAGCAGACCGGAGCCAGAGGAACGGAGGGTACGGGCGGGTAGGTAGGGGGATAGTAGGTTGGAGAGGTAGGAGGGAGCAGGGCCGTGAATGGCCTTGTAGGTGAGGGTGAGGATCTTGAATTCGAGGAGTTAAGAGAATGTTGTAACATAAAAGGCAAATACTGTATAGCATAGCAAGGGCAGAAAAGGAAGATAGGCAAAGAATCTTACCATCAAATAAAAACAAAGAGTGTTAAAGTTAGTCATCACACTTTTCAGTTTATTTCATTTGATGTTACAACCAGAGAATATTTGTTTATTGCTTCTGAATACATGTATTTCCAGATAGTAATTTAGGACGCAGAATTTAGAAGAAAACGCCATGCAGCAAATCCTTGTCATTTCAGAGATTTTCTTTTTCAGGGACAGTAAGCAAAGTTGTAATTAAAATGTGCTGGAGGGAAAAGTGTTTCATTCAGTTCACATTTATCTTGCGTTGCCTCTGACAAAAGCACCCTTTTGTATTTATAATAGGCATTGTAAAAGCCAGGAAATTACAAAAATAAGGATTTCCAACATTGAAACAATCATTTTAGCTATCCTGATGACATTTTGTGTTGCAACTCATTGACTTGAAGAGAACTGCTTGTCTGGAGATACTACGACAACCGGTGAACTTCAAATGGATGTCTAAAAACAGTGTGACTGGTTGCTTCCATCCCACCTGAAAGAATAGACCTCATTTCTTCCTCTGCAGTCAACAAACAGTGGTAACTTTCACATCAGGAGGACTTCCCAAGGTGCTGGACAGAACTAAATGTTAGGCACAAAAAACTTTGTGAGTAGGCTATTGGCATGGGCTGCAGACAGACCCAACAATGGACTATTCTCTTTGTGATGAGGTAGTTCAGGCATTCAATCACCCATGCCACAAAGGCCCATTCACATGGGTTGATACTGGCAAGTTTCTCCACTGCCTGGCTAACTTAATCAGAGCTGGCCCAGGTCCCGCATCTCCACTTAAAGCAAGCTGCTCATCTATGTTGATCAGTATTTGCAGTTCCTTTTTTGTCTGGATCCATCCTTTGAATCCAATATTTTTACATGTACATGAGGCATTCCAGAGGCTAATTATTTTCCTCTAGTCCTTACACCCAGTTATTCTCCAAACATTGGTAACAAGAGATCGTCTGGCAATGTGCACAGGTCACTTGTGTCTGGCAGTAGTGCCCATAGCTGTCATGCATTTCCTGCAGTTTGAGCAGAATTTGGCAGTCTTCCAAATACTCTAAGGGGAAATGAAAGACTTGTTTAATTTGGTTCCCAATTATAATGATAACCTCCAAACGTTGTCAGTTCTACTTAAACAACTTTTCTATAGGCTATTTCGGTGAAATAAAAAGTGATAGATGAGAAATCCAGGAGTTTTCAACTGCAAAGTATAGTAACTGTATTTTGTAGACGAAAGCCAATTAAAAAATTTCACATTTTGTTAAGAAATTTATTAAGAAATCACAAATTAACTCCTCAGTGCCTGGATATATTACACTTATTTGTATTTATATGATAGTTTTTTTAAAATTATTTTTCATTATATACTAGATAAAAACATTGACACCAGCAATATTTAACATAATTGATAATAATGTACTAAACCAGCTATTATCTGGTTAGTGGAAAAATATGTTTTGAGCCTACATATATTTGATTATTTCTGGTATTTTAAACCCTGAGATGCTATTCCAAATGAAAGGAGCTGTATAAATGCTAGTTGTTGTAAATGTAACAACTTGCATTTAAATAGCACCTTTTATGTGGGGCACTATATAAATGCAGGGCATTATGTGGGTGCATTTATGTAGGATACTATAATTCCTTGCACTTTATAGAGGTGTTTAAGATAATGAAAGTATTTAATTGGGAGAATTAATTGTGAAAAAACTCAAGACAAGAGAGAACTCATTGAAGATTAGGATTTTTTTTAGTAAGCCGTGTGTATGACACATATTACCATTCTTAAGAGTAATCCAAACCCAGCTGAAATTTCCATGCATCCCACCTACACATGAAAATCCCAGAGATAGATTGTTGCAATGGATTGCTCACTCTCTCCCTGGAGATACTCATCCTGCTTATCTAATTCTGGAAAATAAGAAAATAAAGGAGAGTTCAAAAGAACCTATTCTCCCAGAGGGTTATCTGTTAAGAGTCGATTTGGACATTTAAAGGGAATTATAATAATAAACCCTACATTTGATACAGTGCTTTATCACATTGATGAAAGATCTCAAAATACTTCTCAACTTTTTACTGTATAGTGTCTATTTATTTATGAGCAATGCAGCAGTGAATTTGCACGCAGACATGAAGGGATTGATCAATTTTATCTGGGCGATGCTGTTTGGGATCTGAGCATGTGCAAAACCTTCATGTCCCCAGGCTCAACCACAAGAGGGTGTTCTAGACTCTTCTGACGTCCCCATAAATGCACAGGTAATTACACTTTGTATTACTGTGACTTACAGGGGCTGTTGTAATTGACTGATTGTTTTTTCTGCCCATGAGTGTGAATATTAACAAAATTTTAATGCAACATTTGTATTTGTATTTGTATCCTTCAACCATCTACTATTCACCAGCTACCTCCGCTCCCTTAAAGCACAAACAACAACAACAACAACAAGATTCCATTTATAAAGCGCCTTTCACATCAGGAGGACGTCCCAAGGCGCTGCACAGTTGGGTCATGACCCGAGCAGGGGGGAAATGGTCAGGGTGAGGGAAGGGAGGGAGCAAGGAGGGGGGAAATGGTCAGGGTGAGGGAAGGGAGGGAGCGAGGAGGGGGAAGAGAGTCGAGAGTCGAGTCAATGACACAAATGTGTGTCATTGAACGCACCTGGCTTAATTCAAACTTAACGGTCCATCGGCAGATATGGCTGCACCTTATCAAATCCTACCACTCTGCCTTCACCTCCGCTAAATCATCGTTCTACTCCAAGTCAATCTTGGAGGCCAAGGACAACCCTAGGCTCCTCTTCTCCATCACCAACCAGCTCCTCCGACCAACCTCTCATGTCTCGCCTGTCCTCACCTCCAATGCCAACTGCAAGGCGTTGCTGGTCTTCCTCAAATCCAAAGTTGAGGGGATCCCCTCAGCTGCCTCTGCTCTTCCGTCTACTACACCCGCCCCATTTCCCCCTCCCACCCTAGCTCCTACCCATCCCTCCCTCGAACTTGTCTCCCACTCCTCTCTCACCACCACTATAACCCACATGAAACCGACCACTTGCTCCCTCGACCCCATCCCTACCCCTCTCCTTACCTCCCAGCTCCACCTCCTTGCCCCTCTACTCACAGGCATCATAAACCTCTCCCTGTTCATTGGTACTGTTCCCACCCTATTAAAAATGGTCATCATCACTCCTATCCTTGGACCCATCTGTGCTTTCAAACTACCACCCCATCTTCAACCTCCCTTTCTTCTCCAAGGTCCTGGAACGACCTTGCTTCCTAATTTTGCTCCTTCCTCTCCGGCCACTCCCTTCACGAACTCCTCTATTCAGGTTTCCGTGCCACCCACAGCACAGAAACAGCCCTGGTCAGTGACAAATGACATTCCGTC